TAAAATGTACATATACATTTTGTTTTAGATTTCTATTAGAAACCCTGCTCCGGAATATCACGGAACCAGCCGTTTTCGTACCGGATGGTTGGACCTGGGAATATGTAAGTTAACCTTAAAATAGTTTATAAAAATTTAAAACAAATAATATTTTTTACTTTTTGCAGAAAAACAACTTCGATAACGTGGTATTTGGCGAACAGACAGCACCACAAAGTAAGAAAACAGAAATATATAAAAAATTTTTAATGAATAGTTTTCTATGTAATCATATTTTGATATTAATATACATGTGCGCTGTAATGATCATTTCGACATGGGCCTTTAACTCGATTATATTACTAATATTTAGTCTAATTCTGTTATTATTCGTTTCTTCCATGTTACATATATAAATTAATCAATAAATACATATTAATCAAGAAATGAAATGAAATCAATCTGATATATGTATTAGTTATATTTAATTCGATAAAAACAATTGAACAAATATTTATTATTATATGAAAAAAAATATTTCCATAAAAAAAAAACATGGAAATGATTATGATTTATTTTGTTTCAAATGTGTTCGTTACCTATCTTACTTTTTGTTGAAATAAAACAATTTAATTATATAAGAAATAAGTTAATACTTATTAAAAAAAATTTCAATATAACCTTAATACTCTTCACTTAGTTGAAAATATTTAATTGTCATCATGAAAATTTTATTTGCCTATTTTTATTCTTATGTTTTTTATTTATAAATATGTTCACAAAACAAAATTTGTTGCACTTAAAGATATGGATTTAATAACTGATAGTGTTATGAAACGTGAGCGATTACGAAGAGAAAGAGCCAATATCTAGAATTTTATATATTTTTTTGTTTATTTGTTAAACATGATTTTTTTATTCTAGAAATAGTAAATTTATATTATAAATAAACAAAATATTTAGTTTTTTTAATAAAACTATAATTTAGTTCAGTAATATTAGACATTTGTTTCATTGCAATTTATTAATAAAATATTCCTTTGCATTCTTTATAGAGATACTCCAAGTACATTTAATTATTAAAATATTTGTAATTTCTGCAAAATTTTATGATAAAATAGTGGAAAACAATCTAATTATAGTTAATCTATGTTGATGAGGAAAATGAAGCATAAGAGTATGACTAGCTTGTGTAAAAATATTTGCTACGTTGTAATAAGAAAATAGTATTGGGATATTATCAGATCCTACTATGGGAATTTCGATGAAATCCGGCGCGTCTTTTCATCCACCTTTTATAATATCTTCAGGTACTAATTAGTGCCCAGTTAAGAAAATAGGAATCATCCATCGAATCCATTAACTTGAGTGTACGTTGAATGAATATTTATTCTTTATTTTAAGGTAAAGAAATTGAAGATAATCGTCGATACATGATTAATCATGTTTGTATTATCATGTTCATCGTTTAATTGATGAAGTGCTACTTTAATACAATAACAACGTGTTTAATGATATATTATATATATTGTTGTATTGAGATTTGTTTAATGGAAGGAAAGAATAGTTTTAATAAAAAGTCGATAGATGACTCAACAAAATGGTATCGAAAGGAACCGAAGAATAAGTAAGTACATGGAAAAGGTTTCTTACTCGTTTTTTATTCGTCAAAATAATAAACCGATGATGTAATTTAATTGAAATGAAATGAAACGAAATGAATAATGAATTTGTTTATTATTGAGTAAGAATTATTTTAAATAGATTAATTAATAAGATATATTTCCATTATAATTCATTTAAAAATTCGATTTGAAATAATATTATTTACATAAATCTATTGAATGAATTGAAAGATAGATGATTTTTCTTCTGTATTTTCTAAGATTGAAATTTTAATAAGAAAATATTTCTTTATATTAAATCTCTAGATCATATCTGTTATTTAAATGAGAAAAAAGAACCATCGATATAATGAAAATATGAAATAACCTTTTCAGATATCTATTTCGATTTCAATCATTTCGATTTTACTATAAAAGGGTAAAACGAAACGTTTGATAGATCAATGACAGGAGAGTAAAGAACAAAATCATATTGTTTTAATAGAGTTTTAATTCAATGAAGAATTCTTTTGAATAGAAGAGAAAATATAAATATATTCTAGATTTAAAAAATAGTTAAAATGGCTTCAACGGTATGTTAAAAAAAATCTAATTATTCGAATTATTTGAAACAATTTAATTTAGACAAGTGGAAAGATCGCTGAATTTCGTCGTTTGTTAGCCAATGCTCGTTCTGTTCTTGTCTTAACCGGTGCAGGAGTATCAGCTGAATCTGGTGTTCCAACATTTCGTGGTAGTGGTGGTCTTTGGAGACAATATCGAGCAACAGTTTGTTTTAAGAATTATTTATAAAAACTTTATTTTATTGATAAATAGGATTTAGCAACTCTAACAGCTTTTAATCGTTCACCTTCTCTTGTTTGGGAATTTTATCATTATCGAAGAGAAGTTGTTCGAACAAAACAACCAAATAAGGTTTAGCTTTTTTATTATTAAATAAATAAATGTAATTTCTTTCAAAATAGGCTCATATAGCATTAGCAGAAGCAGAAAAAAGATTTGAAAAAGAAGGAAAACGGTTTAATGTTATAACACAAAATGTTGATGGTTTGAATTGTTTTATTTGAAATAAATCAAAATTTAGATTTTTCTTCAGGTCTTCATCGGAAAGCTGGATCAAAAAATTTAATTGAAATGCATGGTTGGTTTTATTTTAGAATTTTATTAGAAAAAAAATCAAAATAAGAGAAAAACAATATGTTTATTTTTTTTCTTTTTAATTAGGAAATCTTTTTGTGGTTCGATGTACTTCATGTAATTTTATTGAAGAAAATACATCCAGTCCGATTTGTGAATCATTAAGAAATCGAGGGTTTTTATTTATTTATTTATTTATTCAATATTTATTTCAATATGATTTTTATTTTAGTTTGCCAGATGAAAATGGTCCTGAAATCGATGAAAAAGATTTGCCACATTGTCGAAAATGTAGATCTCTTCTTCGTCCTCATATTGTTTGGTTTGGTGAACAAATTTGGAATGATGTTTTAGAAAAGATCGAAAAAGAAATTCAATTATGTGATTTATTTTTAGTTGTATGTTTTTTATTTCTTTATATTATTTCTATTAATAAGAATAAAAATAAAAGGTTGGAACATCATCTGTTGTTTATCCAGCAGCTGGTTATGCATCACTTCTTTCTGAAAGAAGTATTCTTGTTGCTGAAATAAATATTGAAACAACACCTTCAACTTCTATTGCAAAGTTTGTTACTTTTTATTTTTACTTTTATTCTTCAAAAAATCAATCTTCTCTTTTAGTTATCATTTTCATGGTCCTGCTGCACAAATTCTCCCACAATTATTATCAACAAATGTTAATTAACAACAATTTTGGTTTTTTGAAAATCAAGAGAATCATTTTCTTTTTGTTTGTTTTTCCTTTATTTAAAAGCTAAAAAGATTTCAACAGTTTTTGTCTTCAGAAATTTATTTTTTTTTTGTCAACTTCAGATTTCTATTATTTAAGAAAATCTGAAAGAAAATTTATATCTGTTTAACCGAAATAAAATAATAAAAATTTACATTTTATTTTATTGAAATATTTCTCTTTTTAATTAATTAACAAACTGCAACTATAAAATATGTTATTAAAATTATATTTGAACATATCTTAATTGTTGATTAGAAAATGAATCTATTGAATATCTTTCTGGGTAGATAATTGTATCGATAAGCTTAATAATATATTTAATTTAATTCTAATCCGTTTCAATGGAAAAATATTTTATTTTATCAACGAAAATGTTTTCTATAACAATAAAAAAAGGTGTGAAAGAAAAAGTAAAAATTGTGTATTTTTCTTTTTGAAATCTGTTTTATCTAACTCACATAATGAATAAATTGTTTTATAGACTTTCTTCGACACACCGTAAGATTTGATTAATTAAAAAAATGAAAAATGAAAAACGAAAAATAAAAATCTAAAAATAGATTAAACAAATTTCGAATAAAACAAGAAAAATATAAAAAACTTCGTTTTATAAAAATGAAAGAAAAACGTATAATAAATTTAATAAGCCGAAATTATTTTAATAGATGGAATTAAAACCTAAGAAGAAGAAAGAAAGAAAGAAAGAAAAGAAAATTGTGCGTTTAATAAATAATTTGATTGTTATTTGATGAATTTTTAAATCGAACTTGAAGATATCTTCCATGAAATTGATAATTATTAAGTTGTTCAATAGCTCTTAATGCTTCATCATATTTTTCCATTTGAATAAATCCATAACCTTTTGAAAGACCTGTATTATTATCCATAATAATATCAACACGTGATACATGTCCAAATTCAGAAAATAATCTTGATAATTCGGATTGATTAACAGTTTGACTTAAACCATAAACATAGATTGAATGAGTTTTTATTGAAGGAGGAGAAGGAGAAGATAAATAATATTGATCAACAACAATTGGATAAGTATAAAAATTTAAAGATGGATAAGTTAATGAACATGCCATTTGTCGTCTTCTGGAATCTGTTTGAGGAAATTTTATATTAAGAATATTATTTGAACTAATTTCAAGACCATGAAGATGATCTTTGGCAGTTTGAGCTTGACTTCGTGTTGACATAATAACAAAAGCAATTAATTTATCTTTTAATATTCTTATTTGAACTATTTCACCAAATGGACAAAATAATTCATAAAATTCTTTTTCTGAAAATGAATCTGGAAAACCTTTCACATATAATTTTGTATTGCGTGTTTCATTGGATTGTGGTCGAGCTTGAGTTACTTGAATTGTTTTATGACCTATTTGTAAACCATTTAATTTTTCACAAGCAATTTTACCATCTTTTTCACCATTTAAATATTCAATAAAAGCAAAACCATATGAATAACCTTGAACAAAAAACAAAAATTAAGATAAAATAAGAAATATTATTTTTAAAAAAATGAAGATTAACCTGTTTGTTTATCTTGCATTAATTTACAAGATTTTAATGGTCCTATTGGTGAAAATATCTCTGCTAAATGACTTTCTTTTATTGATTGTGGTAAATAATTTACAATTAATGAATATGATTTATCTTTTTGTGTTGAATTCGTTTTTTGTTCATTATTAAGAATCATTTTGATTTGAAAAATTAAATAAAATAAAAAAAAGTAAAAAATTTTATAGCCATATTGATTGATACTGATGTGTATTAACCTCCTTTGATTTGTTTTTTATTTCGAAAAAAGATGTCGTTATAGAAATAATATATATATATACATATATATATATTGCATTAATTACTCATAATATTTGTCATTAAAGATAAAATAAATGAAATGGCGGAAGAAGATATAACTGGAATAATTAAACGTTCATTAGTGGTTTGTAAAATTAATTTAAATAAAAATAAAATTTCGATATTTTATTCAAGGCAGGATCAATAGCTGGATGTTCAGTTGATTTATCATTATATCCAATCGATACAATAAAAACTCGTCTTCAACAAAAAAAAAGTTTAACTAGAGGATTTTTATTTTCATCATTATATTCTGGTGTTGGTTCAGTATTAATTGGAAGTGGACCATCATCAGCTTTATTTTTTACTGCTTATAATTTATCAAAACAAACAATTCAATTCTCATCTCAATGGCAAACTCATATGACTGCTGCGACATTAGGAGAAATTGTAATAAAAAATTAATAGAAATTTATTTTCAAATCTTTCTTCTTTTTAGTGTGCATGTTTAATACGTGTTCCAGTTGAAGTTGTTAAACAACGAGCACAAGTTAATCGAAATTTAAGTTTATTAACAATAACTCGATCTTGTTTTCAAAATGAAGTTTGTTTATTAATTTCAAATTTTATATATCAATAAATAATATTTATTATTTATAAGGGTTTATTTGGTCTTTATCGAGGATATTTTGCAACTGTAACAAGAGAAATTCCATTTTCAATAATTCAATTTCCACTATGGGAATTATTCAAAGTTTGTTTTTTGTTTATTAATATTTATTATTTTTTATAAAACGAAATTCAAGGAATATTGGAGTACTAAACAAGGTTATCCTGTAGCTCCATGGCAAGGAGCTCTATGTGGATCAATATCCGGTGGAATAGCAGCATCTATTACAACTCCATTAGGTTCGCTTTTTTCTTTATTTTAAATTATTTTAACAAAAACAAAACGAAACTTTCTATGTAGATGTTGCAAAAACAAGAATTATGTTAGCTCATGTAAATATTTCAAATCTTTCTATTTATTTTTCTATTATTTCTCTATTTTATTTAGCATTCTGATATTGACGCAGCTTCAAATTCTTTTACTGTTATGAAGAATATTGTTAAAAATGAAGGTTTTACAGCGTATGTTTTTTTCTTTTGAATTTATATTCTAAAATAAAATATTTGTTTTTTTTGTTATTAGATTATATAGTGGTGTACTTCCTCGTACAATGTGGATATCTATAGGTGGTTTAATTTATTTTGGTGCATTTGAATATGTCACATCGTTGTTTTTTTCTAAAAAAACTTAAAAATGTTATTTGTTTTTGTTTTTGTTATAAATTTATATTTTAATTAAGATATATTTCTATAGGAAAATTATTCAAGAAATAAAAAATCTCGTTTTTTGTTAAATTATTAGTTTATTAATTAACAATCAGATTTCAATGTTCTCACAAAAGATTGACTTTTGTCTTCAATTTAAGTTCAACAAAGTTTTAAAGATCATATTGATACACTTCGAAGCATTCATTTTAATCCGTTACATATAAAATCGAGTATAAACATCAATATTTAAAAATCTACTGATAGTCTATATCTATTTCAACTATTCTCTCTGATTTGTTTCAGAACGATTGTAAAGTTGTTTCTAGTAAAAAAAAATTGTACAATTAAAAATATCTTTGATCTTTATGAATTATATTATAGAAAACTGATTATTAATTGATTGACACTCATATTTTATATACAAATTCCTAGAAAATAAACTGATATGTGATTATGACTAAACGAATTAGATAATACTACACTATATTAATAATAATGAAACTTGTCGAACTTACTCGATTTTATAATGAAATTCGTAACTATGAATAATGACAGTTTGATTACGAAAGATGAAAGATATATTCTATAGTAAAATTTGTTCATTTAATGAAAATACTTTATTGAATATTATCTCATTGAAAGATTTTAATATCGAATATTTTTTAAAATTTGATGTCAAAAAGAAAAAACGATGAATTGAAGATATAAGATAGAACATAATTATTTTTCTAAATGAAACTAAAGATTAACTTGAATGGATAAAAAAATGTTATTTACAATAATAAAATAATAAAAATTAAAATTTGTTAAATTGAATTTAAATGTGTTTGATGTTTATTAAAATGTCTTAAAACTGAACGTTGAACATAATTTCTAGGACAAAGAAGTTTCATAAATGCCAAACGAAATTCACGTGATGTTAAAACATAAACAAGAAAATTAAGCTAAAAGAAATAAATGATTATGAGAGAAAATAAAATAAAGAAAAAACTTACTGCTGAATTTGTATAACCAAGCCAAGTAAATAAACGAAAAAGTTCTTGTTGATAATTTGATTTCAATTGTAAATGAAAAACTCCGGTAAGAAGAAGAAAAACAAAAAATGGTAACCAACAAGCAATAAATACACCCATAACAATTCCTAAAACTTTTGCTGCTTTATGTTCACGTGAAAATCTTGTCCAATTTCGATTTCGACGAAGATTTCTTAAACGACGAAAAAATAATATTGTTAATGATGTTGAATCATTTCGACGTGAATGAGAATTTAATGGTGGAAGTGATGGTGATCGACAATATTTTCCTTTATGAATTCTTAATGTTATTGGTTGTGGAATATTTAAATTTGATATTGTTGATAATGATGAACTGGGATTTTTCATTGAACGAAAACAAATTGAAGCACTTCGTCAAGGTTTTAAACAAACAACACCTATTAATGATGTATATCATCCATCATCTCCACGAGCTTCACGTTTTCGTGCTGATATTAATATTCTTCCATAAACAAATACCATTATTATTAATGGAACATAAAATGAGACAGATGATGATACAATTATAAATATTGGATCCGATGGAAATTCACATCGTTCAATTTGAATTTCTTCAGATAAAGATTTATTTGTTTTTAAAGAACTTCTTTCACCAAGAATAAGAACAAATGGTCCAGCAATAAATGCTGAACAAAACCAAATAGCAGCAATAACAAATGATGAATGTTTACTAATAAATGATGTTGGATATGTTATAGGTGATGTTATTGCTATATAACGATCAAGTGCAATAACACATAATGCAAGTATTGATGCTGTTGATGCTCCAACATCAGTTATATGCCATAAATTACATAATAAACGTGATGGAGGTGGATTTAATAATTCAAATAAAATAGCTAATGGTATAACAATAACTCCAACACAAAGATCAGCAACAGCTAATGATGCAACATAATAATATGTTGCAGAATGAAGTGATATCGAACGATAAACTGCTAATATAACAAGAAGATTACCCAATAATGTTAATAAACATACAAATGATAACCATAAGATTCCATTTAAAAACATTTCGTTCGTTTTCTTCTCTTAATATTTACATAAATTTTAATAAATAATCAATTCGACAATTATTCATCATGCTCTAATCTAAGAAAGAAAAGAATTCTTTCGTTTAGTTTTGATAAATGATGATCCATATAGTTAAAGACACTCGATATTTCTTTGTCGATGCAATGGTTGATAAGAATATTCAGCAAAAGTAAAAGAAGAAGAAGACGAAGATGCAGAAGAAGAAGCGAGATTCAATTACTCATAACTGGTGTATATGATCTATAGGCAAGACAATTAAACCGATGAGAGAGAGAAACGCTATCATTGTCAACTTACTTCCGTTTTCCTTTCTTTCAAGTATGTTTTCGTCTTTGTCAATAAGATATCTAATAAATAAATATTATTCTTACATTGACACATTTTATAGACGAGATTACTTTCTTTTACATTAATCATCTACAACAAAACACTTTCTTTTTTTTTTTCTTTTCCTTTTTTCATTACAAAATTCAAATATTTTTTTGAGAAAATATTCTTTTTTTTTTTCAACCATTTTTTGTATAAAAAAAAGTATTTCTTTTTCGATACGAATAATATTAAATATATAAACAAATAGTAAAATTTGAAAAAAGTAAATAATTTTTTTTTAATATTTGATAAAATGTTGATATTATATTCATGATAAATTATTTTTTGTTTTTATTCGAAAAAAAGAAAATTAATAATAAATCATTATGTTTAAATGAATTTCCGATGAATATATTGCTATTTGCCTAAAGGGATTATTGTTTTCTATTCTATAAATAACATCTAAAAGATATTTTTGTTCAATTAACCTAAATCAAATATTTTCTAATTATATTTCTTAAAATAAAACACAACTACATTTTCATACAAAATTAATCATACACATCAAATGATATTATCTTTCATGCTAAGTTAATTGCTAAAATCTTCTTGATAATTTCGGAATCAATGAACTTTTTTTTATTGAAAAGAACGATATCTAAATATACTTTTTTTTTCTAGAACTATCAATTTATAAGAATACTAGATACTATCCCTAGAAATCACATACAAACTCAATTCTTTTCATGCGATGTGTAATTCCTATTTCAGGAAATTCGAATGAAATTACTATTTGAAAATTTCATAAAGACTTAATTTAATGTTCCTAAAAATAAGCACAGGAAATTGATTTTCTTACAAAACAAATATGGAAATAAAGTGTTAACTTTAAATATTATTTTTAACTGGGTCAAAGAACTCAATGTCGATAATGTTAGTTGAAACATTTACTACTATAACATGTAGCCGATTTGAAATTTGTTGGAAACAAGAATTTATCATGTTCTTAATATGTCAGACTGTAGAAGCTTAACAAGAAAAATTAATTCAAAAGATACTGTGTATCATTGCAAAATGATCAAGTAATGACCATAAGAAAATTCTAACTTGCAATATACTATTGGAAAGAAAACTCTTTATATGCAACAGATATTATTAGTCAACGTATTTCTTTCATTCTCTTCTCTCTTCTCTCTTCTCAACAAAAACATAATTTCATTGATTTTGAAATTTTTAAGATGGTTTAAAAGAAATTAACATTTTTATTTATTTCGTTATATAAACAGATCAAAACTATTATTGAACATTTATTCTAATGAAATATGTAAATACCTCTATATTATACTGAAAAACTATTGTAGCTGAATTGGTTTCTTTTACTCGAGAAGAAGAAACTAGGTGATAAAATCTGATATTCGATAGTAATCGTTTTCGAGGGGAAGAAGAAAAAATTCCATAAGTAGAATTTTTGTTTCTTTGTGTCCATTGACTTACAATGTTTTGGTATCCGTTTCCATTTATATTTGCTGTCCTTATTAAGAATCTTAAATGATTGAATTCGATATATTTATTTTGAATATTTGTACATATCATTCAAAAGTTTATCTTTATCGGCAATTAAATTGAAATCCCCTCTTTTTTATAATAAAAATAAAAGAATTTTTTATATTATAATATGATAACTTATAGATTATTTGCAAACGTAATCTTATTCAATATTGAAATTGAATTTTTATATAAAATACTTTTATTTTGACATATAAAAATATTTCAAAATAAAATATATTAACTAGTATTGATATATTGACTAAGATGTCACTGAATATCAGAACAAAACAAAACGTAGGAAAATTGTTTTCATTGGTTATCGAATAAATTGAGAAAAAACAAGTAGATCATGAGATGAGTTAAGAGTAAGAACCATTATAAATAAACAAAAGATGTCTGAACCAGGTGTATTACATCGCTCAGCTGAAATTGAAGATTTAACACATTTAACTGAACAAGATAAAAAGAATATTGAACAAGAAGCACAAAAAGGAAGTGATCATCTTCAATCAGATCAACATGTTACTCATTCATCTTTACAAAATATTTCAAAATCTTCACTTCATCAAGAAAATTCTGATCCAAATTAAATCTTCATCTATCTTTTATTAAAACAATTTTTCAAATATTTCTTTCAATGAATATTTTTATTTTGAATATCTATTAAATAAATCTTTTTTCAATAAATTTCCATGAACTATTTTATTCATTATAATTATTAACCAATAATTTTATGGATAAAAAAGAAAAGCAAAATTTAATTCTAAGATAGGAATATTCAATCTAATAAAATAAGTAAGAATTATTAACATTAAAAGACTCTCGATCGAATATTTTACTATAAAATATTATATTCAAGACCGCTTCAATTGATGGAACGGTGACGAAGATATAATCCTTCCTAGTTATGGAAAATTTTCATTTTCGTCGTTAGAAATCGAGAAAGTTTTTGTATCTCATTTGCAAAAATTATGTTGTATTCTTTCAAAGATACTTGATTCAGAACAGTCCTGATAATTTTTCCCAAATATTCAAAATGAAACATCGACATACTATTGCTAACTTCGACCAGATATAAAATAATAAAAGTATTTAGCAGCCACTCTTCTTTTGCAATAAACATTTGTATAGACAGCTTTTGTAGAGCTTTCAACGATCCATCTTCTAAAAAAATTCAATCATTAATTAATCAAATTCAACAACAACAAGTTTTAATAAACGTTTCCGAAATTTTTAATATTATTGCAGAACTATTTAACAACATTAACAAATAAAACAAATGAAACATCACAAAAACCGTTACAAAAATCAGCAAGTGCAATAAAAGATGATGCAATTATTATTTCGAAATCAATTTCTAAACAGTTTAGTTCATTTTGATCAAATGTCGAGAACTTGATGAATAAAATATATAAATAATAATTAATTAATAAAAAAAACCATAAAAGAATTGGAGGCTCCGGGCATCGATCCCGGTGCCTCTCGCATGCAAAGCGAGCGCTCTACCATGTGAGCTAAGCCCCCTGTACGCTCATTTTCAATACTTATTAATTCTAATTAAAATTTTATGTCAAGAAACTTAAAAAAAATCTTCATCATTCATTTCATCTTTAGTACAGATAGCTTCTATTGTTTCTTCAAAGACATCTGATTGATTTATTCATATTGTTGTTATGAATAATAAGAATAGTGATCAATATATTGATGAAATATTATATAAAATCTATTCATATATGGTATTTCAATGTAACATATTCATAGGCATGGCTTAATCACGGTTATTAAAACTTGTTATAATTGTGATAGAATAATTAAAATTCGGTGGCAATAATATTTCCTTCTACCAAAAAGAGGATTCTTTTTTCTTCAATTCTTTTTTCTAATGAATATCAATAGTTTCCTTTCAATACCTAAATAAGAAGTTGAAATATATCTTGTATGTATTTAGAAATAAAAAGAGATTATAGAAGTAGACATGATAATGATGATGCAGATTAAGCTACATAGTCAAAAACGTGATCGAAAAGTTATTTTAGCCTATAATTAGAAATATCACTGTAGATAAGTGATTTAAAAAAGCATTTATCTTTTGTATTGAATAATATTATCTTGCAATTGCTCAGTTCGTTGAGCTTAATTAAATGGAAACTATTTTTTTAGTAGTGATAATTTCATATAATCAACGATGCAAATGTCTTTGGAACTAGATAGCACACGAGTCGAGACTCGTCTGTAAAATGCAACGTGAAGCCCGATATCGAAGTCACGATTTTAAGGTCTTCATAGATTTCTAAACATTAACAATTATCCTAGAATCGAGTAAAGTTTATATACTTTCAAAATACAGTTGATACTAATTCAATAGACTAATTATCTGTCATCAACTTTAGTTTCAACTATAAAACATATGTAGACAATGAGTCATACTTAACTTTTCTTGTTGGTCTTGTTGAATTATTTTGAGGATATGGGTGTATAGATGAAGAGACACCCACACCCTATCTTATTTAAAACATCATCGCCTCAACACATACTGAAAAATCTAAGTAAAACTTATCATCAGAATACACATTATCTTTGAAAATCAGCATTTCTATTTATTGTTTTTCCGAATATTACAACACAATAAAAATATACGTAGCATCATCATCATTCACTACCTCTTCTTGGTGGGAATATGCCTAACATTTCGATTCCCAATCACGACTATCCTTCGCTTCTATTGCGTTCCAGAAATTCAAAGATCGTATGTTTACCCTCATCTCCGATTTCATTGTAATCGAGATTTAGTGTGGTGAGTGTCTAGATGAAAAAATGTAAGTAAACACATGATGTAAATGAAGAGACAAAGGCAGTTACTGTGTTGTATCGTAATCCATCAGCCAAATGTTGTGCTCCAACAGGTCCAATTTGATTGTGACTGAGATTTAGTGTGATGAGTGTCTAGATGAAAAAGTGTAAGTAAACAAATAATATAGATAAAGAGAGAAAAACAGCTACTGTGTTGTGTCGCAGTTCATCAGCCAAAACTTGTGCTCCAGTATCTCCGATTTGATTCCATTGGAGATCCAGTGAAGTAAGTGTCTAAATGCAAAAGTGTACGTAAGTCAATGATATAAATAAAGAGGGAATGGCAATTACGGCGCTATGTCGTAATCCATTAGCCAAATGTTGTGCTCCAACAGGTCCGATTTGATTGGAACTGAGATATAGTGTCGTGAGTGTCTAAATGAAAAAGTGTAAATAAACAAATGATGTAAATGAAGAGAGAAAAGCAGTTACTGTGTTGTGTTGTAATCCATCAGCCAAACGTTGTGCTCCAACATCTCCGATTTCATTCTGATTGAAATATAGTGTGATGAGTGTCTAGGTGAAAAAGTGTAAGTAAACAAATGATATAGATAAATAAAAAAAGACAGTTACTGTGTTATGCCGCAGTTCATCAGCCAAATGTTGTACTCCAACATCTCCGGTTTGATTGGAACTGAGATTTAGTGTGATGAGTGTCTAAATGAAAAAGTATAAGTAAAGACATGATATAGATAAAGAGAGAAACACGGTTACTGTGTTGTGTCGTAATCCATCAGCCAAAAGTTGTACTCCAGCAGCTCGGATTCCATTCCACCCGACATCTAGTGTGGTGAGTGTCTAGATGAAAAAGTGTAAGTAAACACATGGTGTAAATAAAGAGAGAAAGGTAGTTACTGTGTTGTGCCGCAGTGCATCAGCCAAATGTTCTGCGCCAACAGATTCAATCTGATTGAAACCGAGATCTAGTGTGGTGAGTGTCTAGATGAAAAAGTGTAAATAAACAAATAATCTTGATAAAGAGAGAAACACAGTTACTGTGTTATGTCGCAATTCATTAGCCAAATGTTGTGCTCCAACATCTCCTATTGCACTATTGAAGAGATTTAGTGTTGTAAGTGTCTAGATGAAAAAGTATAAGTAAAGGCATGATATAGATAAAGAGAGAAAAACAGCTACTGTATTGCATCGCAGTTCATCAGCTAAATGTTGTACTCCAACATCTCCGATTTGATTGTGACTGAGATTTAGTGTGGTGAGTGTCTAGATGAAAAAGTGTAAGTAAACACATGGTGTAAATAAAGAGGGAATGGCAATTACAGCGCTGTGCCGTAATCTATTAGCCAAATGTTGTCCTCCAACAGGTCCGATTTGATTGGAACTGAGATCTAGTGTGGTGAGTGTCTAAATGAAAAAGTGTAAGTAAAGACATGATATAGATAAATAGAGAAAGACAGTTACTGTGTTGTGTTGTAATGCATCAGCCAAATGTTGTGCTCCAACATCTCCGATTTCATTGAACCAGAAATATAGTGCGGTGAGTGTCTAGATGAAAAAGTGTAAATAAACAAATGATATAGGTAAACATAGAAAGGCAGTTACTGTGTTATGCCGCAGTTCATCAGCCAAATGTTGTACTCAAGCATCTCCGATTTCATTGGACGAGAGATATAGTGTGGTGAGTGTCTAGATGAAAAAGTCGAAGTAAATACATGATATAGACAGGGGTGTCCCGAGGTCCAAAACATTGGGGAGCCGTCGATAAATTTTGCGAGATTTTCTGATAAGTTTCAAAAATATTCCAAGCATTTTTGTAAATTTTTCAGAAATTTTGGAAGATTTTCAAGATTTTTTCAAAAAATTTCTTCAATTTATCCCCAATTCTCAAAAAACTTTCAACATCTTCTGAGTTTTTTTTAGATTTTCAAGATGTTCAAAAAATTTTCAAGGATTTTTTAAAGTTTATAAGAAAATTCTTAAATTTTTTCGAAATTTAAAGAAAATCGCGATGTTTTTTTGTAAGTTTTTCCATGAATTTGAAGATCATTTCTAAAACTTTCCGAAAATGCTCATAAACTGGAGAGCAAAAAAAAAACAAAATTTTCTAAGATTGGGGGGACGTCGCGGCCCCAAAGGCCCCCCATCGGGACACCCCTGTGATATAGATAAAGAGAGAAAGGCAGTTACTGTGTTGTGTTGCAGTCCTTCAGCCAAATGCTGTGCTCCCACAGGTCCAATTTTATCGTTCCCAAGATTTAGTGTCCTAAGTGTCTAGAAGAAAAAGTGTTAGTAAACACATGATATAGATAAACAGAGAAACACAGTTACTGTGTTGTGTCGCAGTCCGTCAGCCAGATATTTTGTTCCAATATCTCCGATTCCACAGCCCGCAAGAACTAGTGTGGTGAGTGTCTGGACGAAAAAGCATAAGTAAAGATATAATATAGATAAAGAAAGAAAGACAGTTACTGTGTTGCGTCGCAGTTCATCAGCCAAAAGTTGTGCTCCAGCAGCTCCGATTTCATTGGAACTGAGATCTAGTGTAGTGAGTGTCTAAATGAAAAAGTATAACTAAAGACATCATATAGATGAAGAAACAGAATATTTGGCCGTTTTTATGCGGGTTTAGATGAATGAAATAAATGTTGGTAGGACTCCACTGAAGAGCACATAAATATGAATCTGAATATATCTTTGAATTTAGATTTTGTGCAATGCTCAAGATTGTTGGGTAAAAAGGTAAGGTAAAAGGAAGTTAAAAAGGGTTGCGTATAGGTATAGTTTTTTTATTTATGAGGTGCATTAATTGTTAGTTTTTTTTGTAAAAGACGACAAAAAGGTTTAGGTTATAAATAATGGTGTATCAATTGCTGATGTGCAAAACTATTCGAATACATGCATCGCCTGTTAGTACTGTGTAGATATTGGAAAAACATAGTTTTATATTAGTAATCTGTGGATGAGTTTCTCATGTTTATCAACGAGACGAGAGATACGTTTTGCATGAGAACCTCATTTTAGTTGTCTCATTTGGTCAAATTAATGGGTATTCTTAGTTTCGGTACGAATATTCATTGATTTCGGTAGATGTTTTCGATGATGCCACACAATTATTTGTATAAAAAAATATTAGTTGATAAAAACGTAAGAATTAAAGAATTTATTGGATAATGTCAGATTCATAATCGGTGAAAGGCGGATACATACTAAAACGTCTAATTATAAATAAAATGCGTTATGGGTAACGTTTTTGGAATAGAATTTGGTTTGTAAGTAGCGTTTCTTTGAGAAATGTTCCACTTTGCTAATATAATTGTAATTAATGCAATTGGATGAGAGTGTGAGTTTCTTTCAAAATGTTATGCTAATTATTAAAATGGTAATAAAAAAGTGTTTAGACGAGGGTAAAACGAAAGAAAAGAAACTGTGTTTTTATAATTATCTGAACATTATTTTCGGAAGAGATTAATAAGTGATAAATTAGTTTAAGTAACAAATAATTTATTCACGTACATTTTACTGAAATGATTCTACTTGTATAGAGATTGTAGGAATGAAAAATAATTTGTGAACCAGTAGACAAAAATTAGACTGTCACGATAGAAAAAGTTTACCTGATATCGATGATAAGTGTTTAAGATCATGTTGAATCGTTGACATACATTGGTCATTGAGCATAGCAATGTAAAGTCTGATTGGTGATCTAGAACTCTGTAGACAATTTCTACTGGTAACGTATGAAACTTCGCAACAGTTTGATTTTCCATTGTAAACGCTTTGTGAAATATGTGCTGTGTAACGTTGTATGCTACTGATACGATGTGTTGTATTTTTTTCTTCTTGCCCGAATGAATATATGTTCGTCACGCAGCCTATATTTCACATGATGTTGCAATTACTTGTTGACAGGAAAAAAACGAAAAAATAACGTCAACTATGAAATAACAGAATCGACATAGCAACTTTACGGCACGTTTTTATTAAGATTGTTTTATTGATAGCAAATGATGTATAATACACATGAATATTGCGTACTCGTTATAACCAATAAAGATTTGGCAGCATTCTTTTCTAATTTATTTTTTTAAATCTATATTAACATTTGATCGCAAAATCGAATACAAATATTTTAACGGATGGAATAGAATTTGTTCTCACGAAACAGTCAGACAAATGAATCGAGGAAAAACATAAGATCATTAGTTTTATGATTGCCGAATTTTAGTACAATCTGATCTGCTGTTCGACAAATTATTTTAAAATATTGAGAATATTTTGCTTCATTTATTGAAATTTTTTCAGATACGATTATTCACAGAAATATTCATTTTTTAAGATGGGTATTTGCAACAAAAGTGTATATTTCTTTGTATTAAAAAAAGCAATATTATATGTAAAGATGCTACAGATTTTATTTTATTGGAAAAATATCAAAATAAATCTTCACTATTGTATGAAAATTTTGCTTCGATTATTTGTATGATTTCATATGTGATTCGATTTTGATCATATGCTGACTAATTCATTGAACTCTTTCATCATCATAAACATAGATATAATTGATCGGGAAGAAACAGAAATAAACAAATCATTTAAAAAAATTCTTCAAGAAAAATCAGATTTTCAAGTCATTCCTTTCTGAATAGTTAGACTTCTACATTAATGCAGAGTTGAACAATATGAGTATTGTTGTACATGAGTATTGATATCCATAACAGAATCCTATTCGAATCGGTTCTAATCATAAAGAACAAGACTAGTTTTGAAATTTGAATAAAACCAGTTCAACTAGTGTCCACTCAATTCACAAGAGTTTTTCTTTGATAGCTTGATACTTTTTTAAAATATTTAGAAAACAAAAATGTCGACGTAAAATTTACCTAAAGTTTTTTTTTTCGCATTGTTTCAAAATAGGTAAGTTCCATATGCGCTTGATAGAAATTCAGATCATTACTATTTAGTTGGCTTGAGAAAATCAATCTCAGTTGGTAACTGAAATAATTACGAGGTCTTCGAACAATATTGTAAACTTAAACACATACCAATTTCTCTTTATGATTTAGTTTTTGATTTTTATTTAATGCATATATAGCTCTTGATATTGCATGTTGTTTAATTTAATTCTTCGTTATATGCTCTATATTCCGCAAAATTTAAATATATTATATTAAATTTAACGGCTTTTGATTTAGAAAAGATAGTTTTTGACGAAATAGAATATAATATCATGTTTATTTATGTCTAAACAAAAAGAAATACATACATTCAGCGCTAATCAATCCTGGACTTGTGCAATAGCAATACAAGTAGAAACCATTTGTGTCCATTTGTCTCTTGTACAATATGAATGATTATAATAGATTTTTGGTAATTTTTCTCAAAACGTCACGAAAGGATTTAAGCATATTTGATCCCTAAGATTGATATTAAACGACTACTACGAATTAAAAATGAACAGTATGCTGCACCGTAAAAAATAAAGAAACTTTCCTGAATCCTCGAAAAAGATTTTGGAAGAGAATACGAAACCTTGATAAATTTTTACTGGAGGTGTGGATGTGAGTGTCAGATAAATAGAGTAGAGTACCCACCGTACATCCACATCCAGCAACATCAAGACCCACTCTTAGTCACCTACACCTTATATGAAGATATTAGATAGTAGCAGGGAAAATATGAATCGAAACTAGACAGGAAGATTTACTTGTACTGATTCAGTCTCTGGAAGTAAACGAATTATATTTAAAAAAAAAACTTGATATACATAGCATGTGAAAAGTGCGACTCATGCACTCGATGTATCACTTATAGATAGAAAGAGAGTTGTATTATTAAATTACTGCAAGTCCCACAATATACTGCGAAGGATTAGATGCTGATGCCCAGCCTACTTTTTCCTTATTCCAAAATAATTGAATTCAATTAAGTTTCGAGTTTTAGATCTCGTAATCTGGCGACATCTTACTTCTTATTGGTTGAACGTATTGTACCAATTGACTACTTATTTTCGATACAATTCAATTCATATTGATATGATATTGATATTAGTATATTAATCTATATCATATTTTAATATTTAAGAATAAATAATTATGGCTAAACAATCACAAACTGAAATTGATCAAATGATTCAAAGATCAGAAGTATGTAATTCATTTAAACATTTAAATTAAAAATACATAAATATTTTTTTATTTCTAGTATAAGAATCGAGATTTAGTTCGTCGTGATATAATTCAAGTACTTCAATCACCACAATGCAATTTAATATTAAATTTAATTCCGTATTATACAAATGAAAGAGTTTATCGAGAATATCTTTGTCTAACTGGAACTGTTGTTTGTCAATATAAAGCAAATAAATATAATATTCCAATTGAAATAAATATTCATCAAAATCATCCATCTCAATCACCAACAGCTAAAGTTAAACCAACAGCAAATATGTATATATCAACAACGAATCCAGATGTTCAACCGGATGGAACAATTATTAATCATTATTTAAGATCATGGAGACATGTAAGTGTTTTCTTATCAAATGTAATATTCGATAGATAAATAAATTTTTTAACTGAAAAAAAAAACAGACATCCGCTAGAAATTTCAACACGTTTTAGTTTTTTATTATTAAAAATCTTTAGTATGATTTAGAGAAGAATGATTCGATGTAAAATAAGAGATTTATTATTTTCAATAGAATTTTAATAAAAAAAATGTCAAATCAAATTTATCGAACTTGTAATTACCGATAATTGTAAATACTATGAATACAATTCTTAAAAAGAAAATTGCTCAAATAAAAATCAGGAAATATTTTTAAATTTTAAATTTATTTTTTTGTTTTAGCCTCACAGTGATTTATGCAGTCTAATTAATTCATTCTCTCAATCATTTAGTCAACTTCCACCTGTTTATTCAAGTTCAACTCCTGTTAATCAACCAACACCTTATTCAACTAATACAAGTCAATCAACACCATATCCAAGTATTACAAGTCAACCAACACCATATCCAACTAATATAAGTCACCCAACACCATATTCAACTAGTATAAACCAGCCACTACCATATCCAACTAATATAAATCAGTCGACACCATATCCAACTGATACATCATTCATGCCAATGCCAATGCCAATGCCAATGCCAATACCAATGATGACAAATTCATATCGACATGTCGCACAAACAAATGAAAGTCAAAATTCTGGCGACGTTTATCATGAATCTCTTAAATCAGCTGTTATAAATAAAATTTCTAATCGCTATAAAGAAATAACTGAAACAAAACAAAATGAAATAAGTTCTTTAGAAAAAATTCAAGAAGATTTAAATAATGGTGAACAAAAAATTCAATCATTAATTAATCAAATTCAACAACAACAAATTTTAATAAAAGTTTCCGAATTCTTTTTTCTTTTATTTATTATTTCTAAATTTTTATTATTATTCTAGAACTATTTAACAACATTAACAAATAAAACAAATGAAACAACACAAAAACCTTTACAAAAGTCAGAAAGTACAATAAAGGATGATGCAATTATTATTTCAAAACCAATTTCTAAACAGTTTAGTTGATTTTGAATAAGTTAAATAAACTAGATATTTTATTTCTTATCTCTTTTAAAGATTACTTCAATGTTATGTTGAAGATCATGCAATTGATGATTTATTATATTATTTATCTGATGGTTTAAAAAGAGGATCAATTCCTTTAGATATTTATTTAAAAGTTTGTTCTTTCTGTTTTCTATTTAATTATTAACTTTATTAATCTTTCATTTTTTCTTAGCATGTTATGAAACTTTCACGAAAACAATTTACAATACGAGCAACAATGATCAAATGTCGAGAACTTCACGAATAAAAACCAAATATAAGAATTAATTTATAAAAAAAGCATATATTAGAATTGGAGGCTCCGGGCATCGATCCCAGTGCCTCTCGCATGCAAAGTGAGCGCTCTACCATGTTAGCTAAGCCCCCTATGAGTTACTTCTTAGCATTTATTTAATTAATTATTGTAACATTTAATGTAAACAAATCTTCCAAAAATAAATCATTTATACTAAATATGATCGAACTTTATTTATTTTTAATAACTTATTTATAAATAGATTTAAATCATTGTTGTTTTGTTGTAAACATTAATAAACTAGCATTGATCTTTATCAATAATGATATATTAATAGAAATTGATTATATTGAACAATCTTCAATATTAACAAATACGAATGAATAGTACAATATTGAGATAATAAATGTTACAATTTATATATGATAAAAGTTGAAAGATAGAAGAGAACTATTTCCATTTTTATTCTTTCTAAGATTCTCATTTAAGAAATGAATATTAGAAATTGTTATTTGAAATAAATAATAATTGAAAAATATTTAATAGAAGAATATTTTAAAATGTTCTTTTTTAAAATCAGTTAAACAATGTCGTTAGTAGAAAACGTTTCCAATGTTAACATCATAAAAGGAAAAAAGAACAAATTAAATAAAAAAAAAACAATTTGATCTTGTTTTATTGAAAAACAAGGTTAAATTAACCTCATCCTCCAGCACCACCTGGTCCTCGTTTAGATGATGGACGCCATGAACATGATCCACCTTCACTTCGAGTTGATTGACCTGTTAAAGGATTATGATCATTTGATCGATATTTTAATCGACTAGATTTTTCATCGGTTGTGGATTTTAATGCTTCAATTTTCTAATTAAAAATAAAATCAATAAATTATAATGAAAATAAAATCAAATCAAATAGCTAACAGTTTTTTTTTCTTCTGCACGACGTTTAGCTTGTTCTTCATATTCTTTTTGTTGTCGTTGTCTTATACGTTCCATATGTTCATATCGATTAAATGAATCATCTTAAATTAACAAAATTGTTTTTTTTTTCTTATTTTAAATTTATGTAGATTTATAATTACCTGATAGATTTGTATTTTCTCTTCGATTTCGTTTGAAATAAATCCAAATAATAGTTAATATTAATATAAATAAAAGAATTTTCCATTGTTGAATAACTAAAATAGTCTTAGAGAGATATAAAATAAAAATAAGTAAATAAATCTTTACATATTTGATATAGAAAAGACCATTTCGTTGAATCTAGTTTATTTTCCGATTCCGATAATATTCTATCATTTGAATCAATTTCATCTTCAATAGTAACATCATCCTCCATTGTTTATATATACTAAAAATACATTTTTATATTTTAATCAGAACTCAAGCATAAATCATAAATGAAAATTTAAATAATAAAAATAAAATTGATATCGGTTATATCACTTATTCTTCTTGCTAATCAAAAATTAATTCATATTTTATGAAAAAACTGCTGATCTATTTGAAGTAAATTTTGACGTGGCTTATCATGAAAACCAATAGAATATTTCATAAAAAAGAAACAGATGTCACTTCAACCTTATCATAATACAAAGAATTTTTATTATCTTTACAAAAATATCATTAATATCTAAGAACAATACTTATCATAATTTATTTTATTTCTATCTAGATTTCTATTATATCTCAATAATATGTTATACATGTAGAACTGGAGAAACCATATGGAACTTTAAACTTTTACGACCATTGTGCGCGAATAAAACAGTTGAGAGTGGAAATGGTGAACTGGAAGAAAAGAAGTACAAATCTGGAAGTTTAAAACACATAATGAATTACAATGATTTGTACACTACTATTATATTAAGAATTCATTATTTCTTAGTTATAAACCTTAACTCATTATATTGTACATGATCATTGGTTTAAAACATTGTTTCTACTTCAGAAGCCATTTTTTTAAAGACTGGTTCATTATCTAAATCATTTCAGAAACAATTGTTAGAATTAAATTTCTTTGGCGAAGATTATTTCCTATTATAAATCGATCATTCTTTTTTAACCTAAATCATTGATATATCTTCATAAAAATGCGGAAAGAATTTGTATTTATATGTACTATATATGATTACTGCACACAAAAGAGAATATTAAAATATTGATACTTCATGTATGTTCAGTATCTATATATACTAGATAATAACTTTCTCAACAAAAATAGTAATTTTCATTATTGTTTATAAAGTATGTTATCTTTTAATTATAATCTTCAACGTAAAGATAATAACAATTATTGACTGTACCAACAATATTTCCTCTTTGATACAAAAATATGACAATAAAATATTTGAGTTTGCCGTTATAAATATCTTAATACTTTTGATGACAGTATATTCTCTATAAAAATAGAGAGAATGTTCAATTTGTTTAGTAATAGTTTTTATCAATACCAATTTTCTTTGTTAATATGCAAAATAACTATAAACAACAAATAACATTAAAAATAGACTAGTATGTATTAGTAATATTATTCAAAAGTTTGAACAATGAAAATTCGTTTCTGTATCATTTTATTTGAAAACTTAGTTTTATCTGTTGATTTGTAATGTAAGAAGAATTAATAGAATAGATTCAATTTTAATATATGAATTAGAAAATATTTTCAATAAAAATAAGTTTTGAGAAACAAAGAAACTTATTATTATTTGTTACATTTTGTTTCATAAAAGTAATCGTTTGTGTCACGTTACTGATATATTACTCATGCCGAAATAAGATACGAAATATCCCATTATTAATATCAACAACATAGAAGGAGATAACGCATCTAAAAATTTTCTATTGATTAGAAAAGCTTTTTTGTTTACGAGAAATAATTACTCCTACTATTAGCGTTGGCACGTTATCTATCAGTAAATCAAATCAAGTCTATATAGATAAATTTCTTTGTTTATTTTTGTTTAAAAACTAATTTATGTAATATATTCTCTTCATTATTTTACACAGTTCGATTGATGATCTTTGAAAATATAAATATTGAATAGAAAAACAAAATTTCTTGTCTACTTTCTACAGTGCAAGATTACTATAAAATACAATAATAATGCATATCAATTAATTTTTTATAGTTTTACAAGTTTCTTTCTCAATTGGTTGAATGCATCCTTTACATATGAATTAATTCATTTAATGAATTTTCCTTTTTTCTTCGAAATTGAGAATTTCGTATAGAAGAAAGAGTAAATATATGTATTGTTAGAGATGATAAATCGAATATAAATTAAAACAAAATAAATAATTAATGAAGTTGATTAATTATTAAATCTAATGATGAAAAAAGTGATATTGTTAATCCCTAAAGATCAGTATGTATTATCATATGCAAATAAAATTGTCTTTGCTTTTTTCTACTTTTATTTCGTGTGAGATAATCAAAAGCAAGAGAAAAAAGAGAAAGAGAAAGAAAAAAGAAAAAAGAAAAGAAGGAAAAACAGTGTGTCCCATTAGATTACGAGAATAAAAAGGAAAAGAATATATATATATAAGATTATTTGTATTTCTGTGAATTGTCGAGTAATGTCTTCATCAACATTTCATCGATCTGTTGATTTCATTGATTTTCCTTTATCAACAACAAGTGATGATAAAAATTCAAGTTTTACACCACTTTATCGAACAACTGAAGTAGAAAATCTTCATGATCATATAAATAATGATAAACAATCAACATCACCACCAAATCCATCAAAAACAACGAAAAAAGTTTTAACAAAATGTATGACTGTTATTGGTGATGAAACTGAAAAATAAATATTCATTTTTCAACATTTTCTTTGTTTATTTCTATTCAACTCAAATATAAATAAAATATCATCTTCAATAAAAAAATATTTCTTTTATTCATTTGTCATATTAATATTTAATAAAAAAAAAAACTCTTTTCTCTATTAGAATAAAAACTAAAAGATTTTTTTTTTATAAATTTATCTTTTCACATGAAAAGATTCTTTGAAACAGATAAAAAGACACGTATTACAATTAATTTAGATATTTCTCAGCAGTTCTCTTTATTTTGCAAAATAAACTCAAGGTAATTTTTGATTTTGTTAATAATAAGAGAAAAGCAAAAGATGTTATATGGTATATTATTGGAAAGTGTACGAGATGGAATATGTCTTAATTATGGAAGACAAATTTGGAAAAGAATCGTACAAGAATTAAATTTTGAACATGAAACATTTACAACATTTGGACAATATGATGATAGTTTAGTTACAAAAATAGCTGAATGTAAATAAAAAAAAGATTTTCTATTATCAAAAATAATTTTTTCTTCGAAAAAAAAAGGTCTTTCGGATATTTTACATGAAGAAACAAGTGATTATTATATGGAATATTTTGGTGAATGTTTTGTTCGATTTTTTACAAATTATGGTTATGATAAAATTTTACGTGTTGCTGGAAGACATTTTAGAGATTTTCTTCATTCAATTGATCAACTTCATGATTCAAATAAATATAGTTTTCCCAAAATGAAATCTCCACTATTTCATGTTTTACAAGAAGATCAATATGGAGCGTTACTTCAATATAAGTCAATATTTACATTTTTTATTTCATAAAATAATAAGAAAATATAATTTTAGATCTCGTCGTCAAGGTTTTCAACAATATATTATTGGACAATTAAGAGAATGTGGAACTAGATTTTATAATGAAAATATTTATGTTAAAATTCAAGAAAATATTTCAACTAATCAATGTTATTTTATATTGATTTTTTACCAAAAAAAATGTCTTTGTTTTTATTTTGTTTAGGCACTGTTGTTACATTTCGAGTTAATTTTAATAATTCAATTATAAATGAAATATCAAAAAATCTTCATCCATTTCCAAATTTACCTAATTTAACAAGTGAAACATTTTTTAAAATTTTTCCATTTAGTATATTAATTGATTCATCATTATGTATATCACATATGGGAAAATCAATTAAAAATCTTTTTCCAATAGATACTATTTTAATTGGAAGATATCTTAATGATATATTTAATTTAATTCGACCTGATATTACATTAGAATGGAATAATGTAAAAAAAAAACGATTTTTAAAATAAAAATAAATTTCGATTTATTTATTTGAATAGTTAATTAATTATGGTCGACATATTGTATTTTTAATGGAAAATCGAATTCCACTTAAATCTTTGAATAATTTCAATGAAACACCTCGAATTAATTTAAAAGGACAAATGAAATGGCTAAGTAGCTGGAATTTAATTGCTTTTTTATGTCATCCAGTGTATTCACATAATTTAAGAATTTTTTTTTAAAAGTAAAAATAATATTTTTATTAAATAGATTATCAACAACAGAAGAAATGTTGAATATTGGATTATCCGTTCATGATTTAAATTTTTATGATGGATCAAGTGAAATTCTTATATCAGGAATTCAACATCATAGACAATTACATTCAGAAATTGATAAAGTATTGTTTTCTTCTTAACTTAAAAATTTTTAAAAATAAAATTTCGAATTAATTGAAGCAACAAGCATGGGTTTCCAAATTACAAACATCAAAACTTGAATTAAAACAATGGAGAGAAAAAGGAAGACATCTTCTTTATTCTTTAATGCCACGTCATATTGGTATTATGCTTCAACAAGGAATTGTTCCAAATTCAATTTGTGAAGTTAATCATTTCATCTTTCGATTCAAAAGAAAAACAAATCTTTTTTTTTTTTTATTTTAGTCTCATAAATTAGTCACTGTATTATTTTGTTATACATTAGATTTTAAAGATGTTATTCAAAAATTATCTCCAACTGAAATAGTTCAATCAATTAATGAAATGATTATTATTTTTGATCAATGTACGGAAAAATATGATGTTTTCAAAGTTAGATTTTAAAAAACAAATTTATTTTATTTAATCTTTTTATTTAAGGTTGAAACAAAAGCTGATTCATCATATATGCTTGTTTCAGGAATTCAACAAAGAATTTCTCAAAGAAGAATATCGGATCGAGTATGTTTACATATTATTTATTAGAAAATAAATAAATAAACATAGATTTATAGTTTATTAAAATCATGTGAATATCTCAATGTATATTTTCCCTTTTTACATCAGATATATTCAATTATGAATCTGATATAATATGAAAGAAAATACCGATAGACAAAATAATTAGATAAACAGATCAGAGAAATTCATCATAATGTGAGATAACTTATTTTTTTGATTACGGGAGGAAGCTGATCACAAGAATAGAAATTATGGATCCATCTGTATGCTTATTAAGTGCGGGTGATGAATAAAAAAAAAATGATACTCACACCTATACAGAGAGATGTATAAAAATTAATTAAATGAGTTTATGTATTATAAGCCATCTCACCAAAAGACTATCATATAAGAAATCTGAATTTCAATATTGCCACATGAATTACTTGAAGATTAATGAAATTTTACTCTATCTTCTGTTATACATACTATAAATCCTCATTATTTTCAATTTAAAACAGTAGAAAAAGCATCTTCTATATATTTAACATAGTTTTGATATAAAAAATGTTTTGTTTTAAAGTCAGATTCAAGTGATCAAAGTTATTCATTAATCGATGATAATTTCAATAATGAAATAATTCATAAAAAAAACCAATATTAATTTAAATCAAGGTGAAATAATTAGTGGACTTGCAATTGATTTATTAAAAGAATCAAAAAAATTAATTAATAAAATAACAAAAGAATCATTTCAAATTAAAATTGGTTTTCATTCTGGTTCAGCTGTTGGAGGAATTGTTGGACATAAAAATTATCAATATTGTTTGTTTGGTGATACAATTAATACAGTAAAATAGATTTTTAAATTAATTCGTTTTTATTTCTTTATTTATTTTTTAAACAGGCAAGTCGAATAACAGCAACAAGTGATGTAAATTGTTTTTTTTAATATCTAGAAAATATACTTTCAATTTGATTAGATTGGTCGAATTCATTTAAGTGAAACATCATGGCAATTATTAAAAGATTCAATGTATTTTGAAACAAGTCCCAGAGGAAAAATTCCAATAAAAGTTTAAAAGAAATTTTCTTAATAAAAACTAAATTATTTTATTTTAGGGAAAAGGAGAAATGGAAACACATTGGTTAATTAATTCAAAAGAAGCGTTTATTAAAGAAATGAATAAATATGAATCAATTACAAATAATAATCAGAACTTATCATCATTATCTGATATTCATTCAACAATCGTTGAAAATAATCAAAGAAAAAAATCACTTCCAAATGTTATTAATAAAAGAACGTCATTTGAAGGAATATGTCCATTTTCATATCACAAATAAACACCTTTCATTTAATCTCTATCTTTACACTTATATCGTTCTTAAAAAATATTCTTATTCATTCCATTTGATTAACATAATAAATTAATCATTATAAATAGATATCGAAAAAAATTACCTTTAGTTAATTCGAAATCTTAGAATATTTGTCATACAGGCACAATTAAATTTTGAATATAGAGCAATTTTTACTTCTGATCTGTAAAATTCTTCGAGTGTGGGTAGGTCTAGGTGAAAAATAGATGTAATACACACCCACACCCTCAAGATACTTTTCTTTTGACAAGAAACTTGCAAAAAAGCATTAAATGTTTATAGTTCATGTCACAAAACCAGATCTAGTGCGTGTGTAAATGTATCATACTTGACACCCACCCCTTACCTTTTATTTCAGTTTTCTTCTTAAATTTATGTAGAAATAATCAATATCTCTTCAATACGAATAAAATAAATTATCAAAGATATTATCCTTTCAGTTTATTTATCAAGAAAAAACTCTTTTTTTTTTTACTTCTGAAGCACAAATTCATCGGCAATAGCATCGTTAGCATCATGATAATACGTAAATTTCAAATAGGTTCGATTAGCCCACAATTGTGTGTAGCCATATTCTTCATCATGATAGATACTCCATTCTGCACCTGTATATGGATAAGGGTCAACCTCTTGTCCAGCCATACCAATTAAAACTTGTGTAATACCATCATGAACACATCTATTTTGATACATTGGACAAGTTCGTTCATACGAATGTAAATGCGCATAAAAATTAATATCAACATGATATTTATAAAATAATGGTTCTAAATATAATTGTAACATTAATATAATCAAATAAGGTGGATCAATTATTTGCGATGAATACATGGGACGGTGTGAATTAACAATAAGCCATGGTGTACGAGAACGATTCACTGATTGAAGATCTTGTTCTAACCAAATATATTGTGGTGATTCACGATGAAAGTCATGTTCATTCGAATATATAACAAAATGAATGGGGCCAACATTGAAACTATACCAGAATAGACCGTTGCCATTAGATGGGGAATGAAAACGATGCGTCATAGGAATAGCACATTCACCACCAGAATCAGTATCATAATCGCCCCTAAAAAAGGATGATAAAGTGATAAAACTATCGATAATATGACTTATATAATAGTTTAGAGAAGAGGATAGATTATAATAATAACAAGTAACTTACCATTTAGGACGAAAAGGACCTGGTGCTCCACTTGGATCCTTGTCACTGCCAGTAATATAATCATATTCATGATTTCCAATACTAACCATGTATGGTACACGAGCTGCAATTGATTGTATTTGAGACATGAATGCATCCCACAAAACAGCGATACCCATAGCATAACTGATATCACCAATATGTAACAGACAAGTGATATTAGTCGACATCACTCGTGCTCGTATTCGATCGAGAGTTGATTTAGCACCCGATGCAAATGGCGCCAATCCCATGTCACCATAAGCAATAAGATTCACTTCTGAATCGTCATTTGCTGGACGATTAGTAAATGAGTATACTGATGACCAGCCATTTTCATCAGTACCTACTCGGTAGAAATACGTAGTTGTTGGATGGAGACTATGTAGTAAAATTGTATGCATAAAGCCAGGATCGATGAAGTTTTGTGGTCCCCATACAGTAGCTCGCCCTTCACACATGTCCGATGCTGTATAAGTGACTGTTGTACCATTAGTCTCCCATTCCAGTGATGATGGATGCAATCCATATTGGCACCGTGGTGTAAGAGCATTTGAATTAGTGACAAATGAAACAAATATTTGATCGATTTGATCACCATATGCTAAATGGATCTGTGTTGGTTCGTTATAGTTAAGAGGGCGAACAACGGATGATTTGGCGACAAACGAATAGTTACCTGAACAATGTTGATCGCGTGAGTAATAACGAAATTCAAGTGGTCGACGTAGATGGATCATCTCCCATGATGCACTACTTTGGTTTTGCACAAATGCATAGCCAACATAATCACAAACACCTGATAAATACAGAAAATATGTACGTATTTATTATGATGAAGAGATTGACGTAATTAGTTCATTGTTCTGACTAACCATATGTAAATAGCATATATAATATACCTGTAAAAATTGGTGTTTCTACAAAATAGATACCAATAAAATCATCCTGACAAGCGTTTAATATTGGCGTCCAAGTCACTTCAATTTGTTCCATGCTAACATACAGTGTAGTTGAAACATTTAAATGAGTAATGGTCACAGTTGGATGTAGATCTAAAGATGCAGGGATGCCTATGCTTAGATTGCAAGGAATTGGATCATCCCTTATAGAATGACGATTCCTAAAAGCCCAATTAATATTCGAATGATGGTCTTTAGTTGCAACAAAAACGAAAAAAGTAAAAAGAAAGATGAAAGACACCTTTCTATAGAACCGCATTATGGTGCTATTTTATGATATCTCACCTATATTTATAACCGTGTGATATAATCATGTAAATAACAAACTGTCAACAAAGGATATCTGGAGAGCATACCAGTTTTTTATCAGTTAAATATTATATGTCCTTTTTCAGTGACAGTGCTGAAATTGTTATAAATCGACGTAGTTTATTCCAATTGAAAACGTTTGAACATGGTAAACATTAATAAATGAAACGATGAATAACGAGGAATATCTCAACACCTGGAGAAATGGATACGATGTGGGTGTAGATGGCTTGGTACGAGTATCATAGTTAAATATAAAGATATGGGTGGGTGCGTATCAGTCTTCTCTCTTTGCACAACCACATCCACACCCGTCTAATAGTACATTATGAGTTGCTAACTCATTTTTTTGAAATCAACTGTAAGGTGTTTTTTTACTTTTGTACTTACTATTATTTTTATTTCTTGAGGTTCTTTCTATAGTACTTGAATTATTGTTGTGCTTTTAATTTCTTGTATATTTCTTTTTTTGAACTTGGTAGTGTTAAAATTTAAAGTTTTTTTAATAATGCACAGCCCTGATGAGTGTTTCTATATTCATAATGAATACGAAGAAACGCATTCGAATATTGAACTGTGCGTTATTTCAATTATTATATATATACATATATTATTTTTACTTCAATAACAACCTGTTTTTTAAAAAACCATCTATGATAATTTATGAAAATATTCAAAAATTCTGTGAAATAAATCTCGTCAGAAGATCTTACCTTGTTTAATATTATAAAATAAAAAGGTAAGATTGCGTAAGTTAATCATAACAAAAGTTTTTATATAAAATTCATAATTTAAGTGACGCTCAGTGAATCTCTGTAATCTGTACTATATACTTAATATATAAATATAATTATAAATGTTTCGATGATTATTCTATTTATTTTTAGTTTAAATGTGTTATTTTAGAAGTATATTTTTTGAAATGTAATCTGAATTTTTATTAATATTATTCATTGTCATCGAATATTCTTTTTCTCAAAAGTTAAAAAAATTTGGTTTTAATATTTGCATAGTATAAAATGTTTAATTTGTCAAAGGTTAACATGTGACATGCATTGGCAAGTTATTTTCTTTCTCACTGAAATAAGGGGAGCCTTTCACGTAGTTTTCTTTAATAAGAAAAAACGATCATGATCAAAAACAAATATTTCTACCTGCGTAGTAAAAGAATAATTATATCGTCATCCAATGATTCATCATTATTTGTAAATACGTATAAACGAATTCTGTTGTTTTTCTTTTCATATTCATGGTTTTTTTTTTGAGTAACAAAATTAAATAAAATGAAAGTATTAATAGCATATCCATTTACAACAAATGGAATACGTGTTCTTCATCAAATAATTTATTTACCAGAATTAGTACAAAGTGAACAAAGTCTTCTTATTGCAATACGTGAGCATCATCCAAATGTTATTATTGTTGGAAATAATTCTGTTGGAGAAAAAACACTTGAAACATGGCGTTCAATTATGGGTGATAATATTCCATTAACATTGATTCGACGAGGTTCATCACTTTCTCGTATTAAAATTGATCGAGCTAAACAATTAAATATAAATGTATTAAATACATTAAGTGTTAATTCTCGATTTGTTGCTGAATATATGATTGAACATCTTAATTTATCAAATAATAAAGATAATTTAATAATTGCCATAATTGGATCAGGTGCAATTGGAAGACGAGTTGCTTATCGTTTAAATCAAAAACATCACATAGTAAATATCTATAGTCCATCATTAATCGAACCTGATGAATATATTCGAAAAAAAATTCAAAAAGAAAAAGGTATTGATTTACCAGGTATCCATATTTATAATACACCTGAAGAAACTGTTCAAAATGCTACTCATGTTATACTTGCTGTTGATGCAGATAAAGTCAAAGATGATAACGAAAGATTATCTCAAGAATTCTTTCAATTAATACCAAATGGAGCAAGAATTGTATCAGTTACAGAATTTCATGTATTTGTTCGCGGTGCACTCAATATTCTTATTGAACGTATTAAAAAAGGCGAACTAACTGCTCATTTAGATTCTCATGCATATGATTTATCTGAAATAAAAGATCATCCAGATGGATTAGTTACTATATCTGCTGCTATGAAAGGACGTGGTTGTGGAGAAGTTATGGATCAAGCTGCTCTTGTTGTTCTTGCTAATATTGCACTTGAACAATCATTAAATTCATCATTAATATTTCCAAGAAATTCTCAAGAAAAAACTGAAGATATAACAATTATTGGTGCAGGTATAATGGGTTTAGTAACTGCTTTATTTCTTTGTGAAAATGGTTATAAAATAACTATTATTGATGAACATAATCGTCCGAATTTAAAAAATGATTTTAATGAAAATGAAATATCTTGTCGTGGTCCAACACTTGATGGATGTGATGCAAGACATGCATCAATTACAGAAACATTACCTCATGCTGTTTTTTATCGAATAAATAGTTTAATTAAATATCCAAATGATCATGGTGGATGGAAAATTATACCTGAAAATTTTTCTAATGAAGAAAAACCTTGGATTGAAAGATTTTGTGAACTTGCTGGTCATCCTGAATTAGTTGTTTATTTATTTAATAAATTTGTATCAAATTTAAATAGATGTGGAATGGAATTATGGGAAAATATATTTCAAAATTATCCTCAAATAGCTAAAAATTGTGTTAAAAATCATCGAATTATTCGTGTATGTCCATCATTAACTTTATTAAATGTTGTTTCACAATTTCAAACAAAATATCATAATAATCAAGATAATTTACAAAGATTAACACATGCACAAGTTTTACAAAGAATTCCTAGTCTTATACTTAAAGATGGTGATGCAGGTGGTATTGATGTACCTGGTTTTACTGTTAATCATCAACATCTTTGTTCAAATATTATACAATATTTAGAAACAAAACAAAATGTTAAATTTCAATGGTCAACACATATTCGTTCAATTGATGATATATCATCTTCAAAAATAATATTTGCTTCTAGTCTTAATGGAATTGATTGTCGATTATTAGAGAATATACCTTTAGCTATTCAAGGCGTTCTTGGATGTTGGACAAAAGTTCCAAATATTAATTCAATAAAAATTGGTTTTAAAATTATGGAAAAAGAACCAATTGGTGTTATTAATGTAACACCAAGTGAAGATGAACAACATTTATATATAACAGGTGGTTTTGCTTTTTGTGGTCATCGAGGAATTGTTCAATCAAAATATCTTGATCAATTAATTGAATTATTCAATTCAACAATACGAAATTATTTACCTGATGAAGTTGAAGCAAGTGAATCAAAAAGTCATCCAACGAAATTTTGTATTCGTCCAATGACACCAGATGGAATGCCAATTATTCAAGAATTTTCTTCTCAAAATAAAAAACAAGATATTTATTTTATTGGAGGAACAAATTCAGCAGGATTTGTTCAATCACCAATATTAGCAACACTTCTATTAGATTTATTTAAAGGTACAACATCTGATTCAAGTCTTTGTCATGTTTATAGATCTTTACGTCTTGATAGACAAACACTTATATTTAATTCAAATTCAACAGACTAATTTCAATATATAAACTATTTTACAATTGGACATCTAATTAAATAAAAAATCTATCATAAGAAAATTCGAAATCTTATTTAATATGGTTTTATGTGTCGAAGGCACATCGAAAACCTATAGTTATTGGTGAAAAGCCATAATAATTTTACATGATATATACACTGCCACAGATTCAACTCCAAAGTTCCGAATGTATTGCAGAATCAATGAGACTTAGGCGGTATATTTCTGATACTCTTCTTCATCATAATCCATTGATAATTAGTAATAATTCATTCGATTTTTTTATTAGAAAATATTTCAAATATCATTCTAAACAGGAAAGTATAGAATAGCATCAATCAATTTCATCTGAAAAGATACAAAGAGAGTGACTAATAGGAAGTTGTAGCTATTAGATCAAATTATCAATGTGCGCATCTTGATAGAGATTCATCCGATTAATATCATTTTTTAAACAAAACTATTCAATGGTTGGACATCAAATGAAACCAATGAAGGTTTGTTTTTTAAAAGTCATCCGTTTAATTTTGAATATTTATCTAAGACAAAAATATAAGGGTGAAATTTGTTGAAAAAGATAACGAAATCTTTTTATACTAGTGCAGACTTTTGAAATAGGTGAGAAGTGATAAGACATAACTAATGGTAAGAAAAATGTTATTATTTAAATAGATAAAAACAAATTATTTTAATTTGAATAATTAAATATATTATTTTTTTAAAGGATCAATCAAAAGATTTGGCTGTACGTGTCGAAGATGTATCGAAAACCTATGGTCATATTTGGAAACCTACACAAGTTTTACATGATATAACTCTTCATGTTCCAAGGGGAATTATGTAATAAATTTTCTATAATAATTTCAACTAATTAAAATTTATATTTGATTAGATATGGTTTATTGGGTCCATCGGGATGTGGGAAAACAACTCTCTTACGATGTATTGTTGGTTGTTTAGGTATAAATCAAGGTGAAATAATTGTATTTGGTAAATGTCCCGGTAGTCGTGGACATGATGTTCCTGGTCGTTCTGTTGGTTATATGCCACAAGAAAATGCACTTTATAAAACATTTTCAATATCAGAAATGTTATATCATTTTGGTCGTCTTCATAATATGAGTCGAAAAGATATTTCAGAAAGACAACAATTTCTTGTTGATTTTCTTCATTTACCTTCACCAACAAGAAAAGTTTCACAATTAAGGTACAAATTAACTCGAGTTTTAATTGAAAAATAATTTTCGTTTTCTTCTGTTTTGTTTTATAAAGTGGTGGTCAACAACGTCGTGTTTCATTAGCTTGTGCTCTTCTTCAAGAACCGAAATTATTAATTCTTGATGAACCAACTGTTGGTGTTGATCCATTACTTCGAGAAAAGTTTGAAGTTCTCTCTTTCTTGTTTTTTAAATAGTTTCTTTGTTTAGAATTTGGGATCATCTCATAAAAATATCTCAAACATATAAAACAACGATTATAATAACAACTCATTATATTGAAGAAGCAAGAAAAGCTGATCGAGTAAAAAAAAATTCAATTTTTTATTTAAAATAAAATAAGAATTAATTTAGGTTGGACTTATGCGAAGTGGAAGAATATTAGCTGAAGATGAACCAACAAATCTTCTTAATAAATATAATAAAACAGTTTGTTTATTTTATTTTCAAATAAATATTTGTTGAAAATAAAAATAAATATTTTGTTTATTTAGAGTTTAGAAAATGTTTTTCTTCATTTATGTTATAATGATCAAAGTCGTATTGCTGAACAAAGTTTAACAGATAGTAGAGATACAATTGTCTCATTTTCTAATCCAGTTAATGCAATAACCCAAAGTGTTCTTCCACCAAATATTCTTTCATCAAATATTCATCAAAATAAACCAAATAAAAAAAATCGTTTGTTTTATTAAAAAATTAATTAAATTAAATTAAATATATTTGTTTGTTTGTTAAGATATGTTCCGTGCTAAACAAATTCTAAGTGATCATTGTGTATTTCCTCAAATTCATAAATTATTTGCATTAATAGTTAAAGATTTAACAATAGTTAAAACAAATATTGGGTAATGTATTTTATTATATTAATTTATTATCTAATAATAGATTTTATTTAATAGATTTTTATTTTTTCAATTTTTAATTCCTGTTTTACAAGTATCACTTTTTTGTCTTTGTATTGGTCGTAAGTTAATTTAATCTAAAACAAAAAAAAATAATTTAAAAAAAAAAATGTGTTTTTAAAGGTGATCCGAAACATTTATCAATGGCACTTTATAATAGTGAAGCAATAAATGGATATCCAACTGGAAACTACAGTTTAGAACTTTTAAATAATATAAATTCTGAACAAATTCATTTTGTATGTTTGAATAAAAATTAAAAATATTTATTATTTCATTTCTAATATAAAAGGATTCATTCAATGATTTTGATAAAGCAATTGATTCTGTTCAACAAGGCAATTATTGGGGTGTTGCTACTCTTCAAGAGAATTTTACACAAGCTGTTAAAAATAAGTTTGTAGTTTTATTTAAAACAAAAACGTCTTATTTATTTATTTATTTCTCTAAAAGATTATTCGGGTTTCAATCAGATCCAGCTACTTTAAATGCATCATCTATTCATCTTTACCTTGATATGACTAGTAAGTTCGATATTGAAAAATCATATTTTAGGCCATCTGCTTTTTTTGTAAAGTTCTCAATATTGTCACTAAATAACCATTTCATATATAGAATAGGATATTTTTAACGATTTGTAATCGAATGAAATCTATGAATTGTATTTCTTAAGAATCATAGAATCTTTCTCTTATTGTATTTAATTTTCTATTAAGATCAACAAATAGCATTTGTAATGCAAAGTGTAATATTAAATGGTACTGAATTATTTTTAAAAGAAATTTTATCAACGTCTGGAATAGATCCATCAATAGTTAATCCACCAGTAATAATAGAAAAACCCATCTATGGAGATGTATCACCAAAATTTTTAAATTTTGCTGCACCAGGAATGATGTTATCAATAATATTTTTTTTGGCAATTGGTTTAACAGCATTAATGTTTGTTGTTGAGAAAAAAGAAGGACTTTTAGAACGAAGTTTAATAGCTGGTGTTACAACAATTGAAATAATGTTTGCTCATATTATTGTCAAATTTTTTATTCAATGTATTCAAGTATCACTTGTGATGGTATTTGTTCATTTCATCTTTGAAGTTTGTTTCTTTTATGATGATTTTTTTAAATATTTTCTATTTTCTTTTTTTGTTAATTAAGGTTGAATTTAAAGGTTCACTTTTCTTAGCTATGACATTAATTTTTCTTCAAGGAATTTGTGGAATGAGTTATGGTAAGGAAGAAAAGAAATTGAAATGAAAAATTCTATTTATTTTTATTTTTGTAAAGGTCTTTTAATATCTTCTGTATGTAATCAAGAAATAGAAGTTATGGAAATAGCACTTGGAAGTGTTTTTCCTATCTTACTTAGTTCAGGTAAATTTTTCTAAAGATTATCAATTAATAATAAATCAATCTTAATTAAAGGTATATTATGGCCAGTGGAAGGAATGCCATCTGCTATGCATTTTATAAGTAGATTTACTCCATTAACATATGCTGTTGAAGCCATAAGATGTATTGCATCAAGAGGTATTTTTCTATTCAGAATTTTCTTAATATAAATTTAGAAACTAATGTTTTATTAAAATGTTAAGGTTGGACATTTGCATATTATAAAGTATGGTTTGGTTTTCTCATAACTGGAGCATGGACTTCGGGATTTTTTATTATTGCTGCTATTTTATTTGCTCTTAGAAAATAAAATTATTTTTAATATTTATTTAATAAAAATGTTTTAACAACTAAGAAAAATCTGATTAGTAATATAATATATTTCTACTGATTTAAATGTTTCTTTTTTCAATCTTAAATTTTCTCTCTCTTTTAATGAATTGAATTGATAGAAAATAAATAAAATAATGGTAAAATCTGGATTAGAATTTGATTGGTCTATTTATTTAATGTCAAGTGATTGACATTGTACTTCTCGAGTAATATATTTAACAACAGTCCTATAAAGTAAAATTTTTAAAAAATAAACTAAAATGTCGGATAATAATGATACAGAAATAATAAATCCAAATGAAACACGGTAAAAACTGAAAAAAATAAAATAAAAATATCTAAGAAAACTTTTTAAATAAATCTTTAGAAAACGTTCATTTTGGACAATTCAGTGGTATTTATTATTTCTATGTTTAATTGTATTATGTCAATCAATGATAACATCTGGTTATATCGGTTCAATAATCTCATCAATTGAAAATTATTATGGATTTTCAACGGAAGATATTGGAATAGCATTTAGTAGTTATGATATAATTGGTGTTTTTTCAGTTCCATTAATATCATATTTTGGTTCAAAATATAATCGAGCAAAAATTGTTGCTTTAGGTGCTCTTATATTTTCATTTGGTAATATTCTTTTTATTTTACCTTATTTAATAAATGGTTATCATGAACAAATAAATCCAAATTCATCAAATCAATCATCAGATTATTTCTGTTCACAAAATATTTCAATAAATAAAAATGAACATCTATTTTTTCATTTATTATCAATAAGTTCATTAATTTCTAATTATTTAAATTATTTAATTAATATTATAAATCAACCATCATGGACTTATTATATAATTATATTATCAATGATAATTATGTCAATTGGTGCAAGTCCTTTTTATACATTAGGAATTACTTTTTTAACTGATCATCTTAATAAAAATGATCAACCAATTTACACAAGTAAATATTTTTTTTATTTCACTTTTTTATTTATTTATTTTTATTTTTAACAAAATTAGATTTTTTTTCTAAAAATAATGTAAGAAGAATATTTTTGTTTATCCGAAAAAATAATCTTAACATTTTTTCATTATTTAACAATGGATGGGATATTTATTTATTTTTCTTTTACACACTAATATTTAATCTAAGAGAATTATTTTTCTATATTCTATCATTTAAATTTAGGTATATTATATGGCATGGTAGCATTAGGACCTGCTATTGGATTTTCAATGGGTTCTTTATTTATTTCTCAATGGATAAATATTGTTGATGAAACTAATCATGATGGAATAACTAAAAATGATCCAAGATGGATTGGACGTTGGTGGGCAGGATTTACTATATCATCTTCATTATTAATTATATTATCAGTCATTCTTTTTACATTTCCTTCTCATTTACCAAAAAAAAACAAATGAAATTATTGATTCAACTAATGATCTAGAAGAATCGAATGAAATTAAATCTTTATGTCATTTATCAAATATAAAAGGTTATTTTTAAATATTTATATAAATCCTTTATTATTATTATTCTTATTCTATATAGATATATTCAATAATATTCTTAATCTTTTTAAAAATGTCACATATATATTAATTGTTTTAATAAATTCAATTGAAAGTGTAAGTCATTTATTTATTCTTATAATAAAATCAAATAAAATATTGTAATCTATAGATTCTTGTTGTGTCATTTACAACATATATGGTAAAATATATTGAATCAGTATTTAATATTTCCTCATCATTATCAAGTATATTAACTGGTTCAATAGTTGTACCAGCAGCCATCTGTGGAACAATAACAGGAGGATTTCTTGTTCGACGTTTTAATTTAAATATATTTGGATGTATTAAATTTATATTAATTTGTTGTTTTATATCATTAATTAGTTTAATCTCACTTATATTTATAAAATGTGACACAAATATTAAATATGAAGGTAATAATCAATGTTCACAATCATGTAATTGTTCTCAATATATTTATCAACCTGTTTGTTATCAACAACAACAAATTACTTATCTTTCACCATGTTATGCAGGTTGTACAGATGTTAATGGAACAGTAAGTAAACAACAACAAAAAAGTATTTTCTTTATGTAAAAATAATTAATTAATTTGTTTAATCAAAGGAATATTTGAATTGTAAATGTTTATTATCAATTGATGATAAAGTAACATCTGGCTTATGTGAAAATGTTTGTTTATTAAAAAGTTGTTTATTTTTCTTAATATTATTTCTTGTAACATATTTTGAAACATTAATGGCAACACCTCAATTAATGATTGTATTACGTTCAGTTAAACATGATATGCAATCATTTGGTTTAGGTTTGGAAAATTGTATTATGAAAATTTTAGCACAAATTCCAACTCCAATTATATTTGGAATAATTATTGATAATCAATGTTTATTTTGGTCTCAATCATCAACATATAATAAACGTGGATCATGTTTTATTTATAATCAAAATCAACTTCCATTAACATTATTTGGTACAGCTATTATTATTAAAATTATTTCATTTATTCTTATTCTCATTTTATATTTTATAACATTTAAACGAAAAAATATCCATTTGACTTCTGATGAACAACAAGATCTATTAGATAATTCTCATTCTTAACATCACTTCTTATTTCTATAAATCTCAACGATATGTATGTATGTGTGTGTGTGTGTGTTTTTTTTCTTTAAAAAAATACATAAAACTTTTCTTAAAACATCATGTATATAGAATTATTTAAATCTATTTTCTCTATCCTAATAAAAAGAGAGTATGAAAATAATTTCGAATTTAAATAGTGAATATATGTCAATAACTAATCATTCTATTGATTAAATAATAAATTCGAAAATAATTAATATATTATCTGATATAAGGACAAGTATATTAATGAGAGAAAAATGTCAATGATAATATGTGATGAAATATTTTTGTATCAGATGGTAAAATGAATTTAATTCTTTGTTCGCATTTTATTTTCAATATGTCATTATTTTTTATTTGTCCTTGACTTTGTTTTTAATTATTGTAAATTATCCAGATGTTCCTATTCTTATTATTATAACGTACCTAACTGAATAGATTAAGAAAATAATATTTTAATTTTTCTATGAATAAATTTTGATCTTTGCCTTGAAAACATCTTAATGATTTGATTGTACTCATCTAACTATGACCATATTCTCGTCAACATGTGTAACATATGGATATAATGAAGAAAAAAAAAAAGAAATGATCAATTGAATTGTTTTTTTCTTTTCTACACCGATTTGTGACATATGTTTCTAATGATTAGTTCTTTGCTTATACAATAGATAATAATAAAATACGAAATTTTATTTAAATAAAAATAATCAAATCAATATTTTGTTTTTTTATTGAACGAAAGAAAATATTTGAAAAATAAATAAAATTCTCATTTTTTCTCTATTTTAAATTGTTTCTCAAATCTGACTAAACAATAATATAATACAATTATTATAATATCGAATGATTTGATTTATTTATATTAGTTTATCATTATGATGACTGGTATTATTTTATAAATTCTATGTGACAATGTTTACCTATAGATGTACTTTCAGATATGATCGATCAATCAATCAACGTTATATTTAATGAATATGTTATTAGTAATAATATCAACTCGTTCATTTGAGAAATTATTTTCGATATTTCTTTCCCTAGATTTAATTATTAAATCTATCGTACCTTGTTTTTTCTGTTTTGTTTTTATATTACGAAAGTCTGACACAAATAATTTTGTTTCAGAGTAATAATGATGGAATGCGAGGAAATGAATGAATCAATTATAAAATATTTAATTTCTATATAAATAAATCAACGTATGTATACAAATTGTATATGAAAAAATAAATAATGGGAAAAAAAAACGTTTGAAAAGGTGATAAACAAGAAACGTGATCGAGCGTTGTTTTCTTCTTATGATATGACTGACGTAATACATATGAAAAATAACAAGTAATGATTATTTATTGAAGCATAATAATAATAATAGTTCGATGAGCAAAGAAAATAAATATTCTGTTTTTGATTATGATTGGATGATATTAAACAACGATACAAAATATAATTTCAAGGTAATTTTTTATTTTCCTTATAGAAAATATCTTCTCATCATCGAAAATAAATGTCACGACGTAAAACTAAAGGCCAAGTAGAAACATTAGCTTGGATAACTGATGATGAAGCTGAATTTTGGACAGTAAGAATATTAGAAATTAACCTTTAAACTAATATATATTTTATTTATTTATCTATTTGAAAAGAGTATAACACCTTCGAAAAATAAAAATCCATTAGAACCAAGTTCAAATTTACCGCAATCAAAAAAATTTTCATCTGAAACAAGTCTGCCTGATGGTCAACATTTTCAATATAATCATTTAATAGAAAAACAAAATGAAAATTCGAAACAAACAAATGAAATATTAAATAACTCTCAAACTAATGATATATCTGTTAAAAAACAAACAGAAGAAGAAGAAAAGGAAGCAGCAGAACTTAAAAAACGTAATGATATATCAAATTATTATGTAAATCAATTTAAATCAACAAATCATTTAAATGAAAATGATGAAAAACAAATTGATGATATAGATAAATCTGTAGAAATAAATCTAGATGAAGATGAACCAATTGATGATAATGAAGAAGAATCAATTCATTCAGGAAAAATTCCTTCTGAAAGTGAACAAATACCAAAAACAAATAAAACATTTCTTGAAAGATTATTAAGTGAGATAATGGGTACACCAGAAAATAAACTTATTGAAGAATTCGATGGAAAAATTCAAGAAGAAGAATATCATCAAATTGAGTCAAATGAAATTTTAGAAAAAAATAATAAAATTAATTCCGATTTAGAAAATAAAAAAACAACAGAAAATATTCAACATAGTGATGTTGTTGATGATCGACCAGTTATGGAAAAAGTGCAATCATTTTTAACAGAAGTAACTGAAGAAACACATGTTATTGCAGGGGCACTTGATCAAGATACATTTGTTAATCGACGAAGTAGACAAGCAAAATCTTCAATACCATTTGTTGAAGGATATCAAAGATTTTCTCATGAAAATGCAACTTAATTAGTTTATTATTCAATAATAGATTTTTATTAAAATCTATTAGGCAAACATAATCGATAATGTGAACTATATGTTTTATAATTTTCAGTTTTTTTATGTTTTTTAAAAATCTTTCATAATAAATAATAGATCGATAAAGTTTTTATAAAAATATGTTTATTAATATGAAAAATTCGACAAATATATACATTAACAGAGAAAAGAAATTTAGTTTTTTCTTATGGTATTTTCAAGATTATACATTTAGTTTTTATCAAAATCAATATATTAGATCAGGAAAAATATTTTAAAGATTAAAATTTTTCCATATAGACTCGCTTAATGTATTTAAATTATCTTTTTATCGCTAAAATGATAAATATTTTGAAAAATAGACGCAATTCTATGTACTGTATCATGATTTTTAATATATTGCAGAAGTCTAGATCGAGAAATTTCTGATATTAAATGATCTATTGTTGACTTATGTTTAATGAATATCTCTCATAAATGTATCTAGACTGAGATTAATTTTTGAGAAAAAGAAATTTGTTAAATTAAAATCCTACCTCATATATGTTAATGACTTCTAAGTCCAACTTAGAATAGAATAATAAAATTTGCATGTACTCAATGTGAAAAATAATTATTGTGATAATTGAGAAATTTTTCTTTAATAAAATATGTAACACATTTTCTATTTTATTTTTTTAAATGAGATTTTATTATTTTTTTAATTGATAGTCATAAAAGAACATCTGTCGTATTTTTTCAATTAATATTGAATCATTTTATCGAATAATAAATGTTAAATATAAAAAACTAAATGACATTTCTTATTGTTGGACGTACTCAAAGTAAATTATCCAGTACAATAAAATATTCTTTCAGTATATAAATCTCATTTATATTTATTTGAAATTAATTAGTAATTATTCTTTATCAATAAAAGGTTTTTTTGAGAAAAAATTATCAAAGATAAATAAAATGTTTTAAAAAAAATTCAAGTGTTAGAAATATGTAAATTGTTCAATTCATACTAAATTAAAGATACTTTATTTCTTCTTTTTTTATGTACCTAAAATATATGAAAAAATAACTTATTATTAAGAAAACTTTTATACGAAATAAGTAGGCGTAGAATTTCCTTAATTAAAAATATATAGAAAGGAAAATGTGTTTCGAAAAAAACGAACGAGAAAATTCGAAATGTACTAATCGAACATCATTAACGAAATATAAATTGTTAAAACGTCTTTTATGAATAGAATAAAGAAGAAAATTATTCTTTTCTTTTCGAAACAATTAAGTACATCTGAGACATTCATCGATTGTAACATAAGGAATGATCATTATTATTTTCCATTATTATCACTTGAAAACAAGATCCTATATAAACCCAGATCAGTTTTCATTTCAAATACACTTTTCTTTATTTCTTATATCGAATACGATGCCGTTTACCATGATGCAAACGACATTCTTCGTCTTATTTTGCGCAATTATCGTTGTTCAATTACCGACAAATTCTCTTGCTGGTAAGTCTTGTTTTATTAATTATTATCGAATAATTACATTTATTTTCTTCTCAATCACATAAAAAATATTTAAAAACTTTTCGATTATGCTTTTAGCTGCTGCAGCAAAGACAGTATCTGTCGATTCTCATGTGGTTGTTAGTAATGGCAAATCATTGACAGGTACAGTGGTTGTCAAAAATACGGATACACATTCTATGACAAATTCCAAAGACGCAGTATGTAAATCATTGCAAGACAAAGTTCAAGCAGCAGATAAAAACAATGCCGCTTCACAAGTTAAAGTCAATGAAGTTAGAGATTTAGGTGATGGAACATTTGCTATTGATTATGAATGTACACATTCTAACAATCATGATGCAGCAAAAACCGCACTCAATACTGCTGTTAAACATGATGATGTTAAGACAATTATTAATAATCCTCCAAAAACTGTTGCAGCTAATACACCTGAACCAAAAAAACCAGCAACAAATCCTCCACGTATGTTTTTTCTATATTTCATAGAATTAATATTCAATATTTTTTCATTCAAATCTACTTGGAAAAAAGATTTTAATGTTTTCTTTCATTTAACAAAGTCTC